AGGTCTGTGAGAGCTTGAGACTCCTGTCAATTCTTGATAAACTTTATGGCAGGAAATTAAATAATGTGTAAATTATTCAGTCCCATTCCTAATTTTCCTAAAGATTCTGAACCTTAACTGAAGCCTTTTAAGTCAGCCTCACCTTCTCTCAGCTCACTGTGTTCAGGTATTACAAGAACCATCCAAATCATCACACACTCCCTCGTGGCATCACACTGAATGTGCTTACTTTCCTTAAGGTTTCATTGTCATTTATGTGTGATTACAAAGCATTTAAAAATAGTCATTTTTAAGTTATATGTCATTTAAAGTTATATAATCTGTGCCTATGCTTAGATGCTCACTGTAACTTTAGACTAGAGACAGATTTTGACCAGGATCTCAGTTCAGTGTGATACCCACACTAGCATGTATGTGTCACCTTAACACCCTCGGATTGTAAGAACTTAGAGTATCTAGAAACATCTTTTTAAATGTTTATGAATTATGTTAGTTTTTTTTACAAACTAAGATTCTAATCAGTGTCCTAGAAAAGTTCAATTACAGAAGCAGTTGTGATTAATTAGTGGCACTGGATTTCTCTAATGGACCTTTCTTGGGAATATGGATACTGAGGAAACTTAGGATGTAATTATTACATTCCACATTTGAGGTAGCTTACAATGACTATCACCCTAAGCAGTGGTGGGGCTGTTTGTATCATTGAAAGCTGTAAATGGTCAACCATCACTCGCCTAGAATAGTCTTATTTCCTTTACTGAAGGGTTTCTACTTTTACCTTATACTGTTTTTATTGGCTATTAGGAATATGAACTAATTTGAAGAAATGAATTCTTAAGTTTGAAGACGTAAGTTCACAGAACTTGAGAGATCGTAGTTCAAGTGTTTAAGATTACTTTGAAGCAATTAAAATGAAAGGCAGTTCTGTGTTTCATTGTGCAAACTTTTAACGCGTGTGGTTTTACTGTTAAGGGCAGCTTATACTGTTTACATCCAACATCTGGTGTTTGAGGGATGGTAGAAAAAGAAGAATTTTGAAAAGTCAGCAAGTGACAAAAAAGCAGGGCTTCTGTTGGCTGAGACCTTACAAACAACTTATACCTGAACCTCTTATGTAGGTCGCTCAGGTTTCCAGTTCTACATGCTTCCCACTGTCCCTGTCTGACCCCAGTATCCATCCTAATAGATTAAGCTCCAGATGGGGACTGGATGTGTGTTCTTGACTACTGTCAAAGAAAAATGGACATTGTTTCGTTAATGTTAGAGATGATATAGTTGGTACAGGTTTTGGAACATGTTTTTTCAGGTTGCTTCTGGAAGTGGTGGGGTTGGAGATAGTGGTCAAGAACCAACAACAGGCAACTGGCGAGGAATGCTGAAAACTTCAAAAGCTGAAGAATTACTAGCTGAAGAAAAATCCAAACCAATTCCAATTATGCCAGCAAGTCCACAGAAGGGCCATGCTGTCAATCTGCTGGATGTGGTAAGCCAAATTTGGTTTAGGTGACCAAGTACATGACCAAATCAGTAGCAAAAAAGACAAAAGGAGCTACAAATCTCAAAAACTTAACTTTCAAATGTTAAAAGGACTGTTATTTCAAACTGGCACAAAATTAATGTTTTCCCCTCATCCCATTTAGCCAGTTCCTGTTGCAAGAAAACTATCGGCCCGTGAACAGAGAGATTGCGAGGTTATTGAACGCCTCATTAAATCTTACTTCCTTATTGTGAGAAAGAATATTCAAGACAGGTTAGTATTACTTAACATGAATCACAGGCTATAATTTTGCTAGATGAGTCCATGCTGTGTTTTAAAAATAAATGTCTTTTTTAAAAGTTAGTTTCTTTCTAAATCAAATGAATTACCTGATACTCTTTGCATGACTGTCATAGCAATACTCATAATCTGTTAACATAGACTAGGACCGGACATGTTAGCTAGAAAAAGCTATTAAATATTCTTTGGTTCCATCTGGTTGTCACATTTTCAAGTAAGAAAATTTTTTAAATTTCAAAGCCGAGCATGGTGGCGCATGCCTGTGATCCCAGCCTGAGGCAGGAGGATCACTGTGAGTTCGAGACCAGCCTGGGCTACATAGTGAGTTCCAGGTCAGTCTCAACTACATACTGAGACCCTGTCTCAAAAAAAAAAAATATCAATAAGTAGTTTCACTAATTTTGGCTAGTCAACAGTGACTTTCCTTTGTAATAATGATTCTGTGAAATACTAAATGTCTTTCATTAGGAAGTATTTTCTAATACAGAATGTTTTCATGTATCCACTGCCTAGTGTCTCATCCATTGTACTGTGATGTCATTTTATGCAATAGGGAGAACAATTTAGCTGTTTAGGAAATGCTCTATGTTTTATTTGTGGTGATCTGTTAGCAAATAAGACATTTTATTGCAGAGGAATAAAAAGTCAGATGCTCTCTTTTAACACCTCATATTGAATATTGAAGCAAGTATTTTCTCTATGGCCAGCTATCTTTTTCACCTATAGAATTTTCTTTAGCTTGTGGTAGAAATTAATTCTTAGCTGGGTGTGGTGGTGCATGTCTGTAGTCCCAGCATTCTGGAAAGCTGTGGCAGGAGGATCACATGCTTAACCCCACCCTAGACAACTTGAGCAAGATCCTGTCTCAAAAATAAAAATATAGTTGGTCTTACACTGCATTCTAAACAAAAAAGTTTAGCCTCTAGCTTTTTTTCTTCTTCTTTTGCTGCCCCTTCCTCTACAATGTCTTTTTTGAGACAGGGTCTCTGTAGCCCAGGCTGCTCTTGAACTCACAGCAATCCTCCTGCCTCAGCTTCCTGAGTGCTGGGATTACAGATGCGCACCACCACACCTGGCTTCTAAAAAGATTTTTGTTGCTGCGTTTTTTTGCCTTTTTTTTTCTTTGGTGCTACCTGGGATCAAACTCAGGACCTGGTGCTTGCCAGGCAGGCTTGGTGCCACTGAGCTAAATAAATCCTTGGCTCTGTTGCTGTTTTTAAAATATAATTCGTATTTATCATACAATTTGCCATTTTAAGAGTATTTTGCAGTGGTTTTTAGTAGTTCATATTCATGAAGAAGATGTACAATGCTAATTGCTATCTTGTTCTGTTCCATCTTTATTACCCCCAAAGAAACCCTGTACCTATCAGCAGTGACTCCCTCCGCCCCATACATAACCTTCCATCTCTATGTTTGCCTATTGTGGACATTTTGTGTAAGTAGGGACACACTACAGGAGGGTTTGGTCTTTTGTGTCTGGCTTCTTTCGCATAGTGTTTTTAAAGTTTATTTATATTGTACTTGTAAGGTACTTCATTCCTTTTTATGAGTGATACTAGCTTATACAGAAATAGCGTACTTTCATCATTCATCACGTTAGATATCTGAGTTCTTATATTTTGGCTACTATGAATACTGATCGTCAGTTTTGATATAATGGAGGAAATGAAACAAAAGGTACAATACCAATAATTGTGACTTCTCTGTTGTTTGATTATAATTAAGTAAAAATCTGAAGGGTAATTGATTATATACCATTAAAGAAATATCCTGGGAACAAGAAATATCCATGTAGCTTATCATTGTTATTTAGCTCTATTATTTTGAGTCCAGATTCTCTAAGCTCAAATTTTAAAGGAATTTTGCCAAAACTTCATAATTTGGTTTTGTTTTTCAGTGTGCCGAAGGCAGTAATGCATTTTTTAGTTAATCATGTAAAAGATACTCTGCAGAGTGAGCTGGTAGGACAGCTTTACAAGTCGTCCTTACTGGATGACCTCCTGACCGAATCTGAGGACATGGCCCAGCGCAGGAAAGAAGCGGCTGACATGCTGAAGGTACTGCTGCAAGCTCCCTGTGTTTACGCTCGGTACAGATGTACAGGTACCAATTTACATAGCTTAACATGCATCCTGGCCCTCGGATAACACAGTCTTCATGTAACAGCAGGCTTATTCCCCTTGGGACTTGATTAGATTCAGATTCCAGAGAAAATACTCATTAGCAAGTAGAGAAATTTATCTGCATTTAAAGTTTTTATTCCCTTTAATGCAGGCATTACAAGGAGCCAGTCAAATTATTGCTGAAATACGAGAGACTCATCTTTGGTGAAGAGAACTGTATAACACAGACTTTGTTGCTGCGAAACCTGCTAGTTACTGCCTATTGAGTAGAACTTTATTTATGAACTACCGGGTACTGCATTGATGCAAATCTCATGTGAAGACTGGCTCTAAACTGAAGTGTGCTCCGCATTGCAGAACAAATCACACATTTAATCCAAATAATAAATGGCTGTTTCTAAAGTTTTCCTACACATATACATGTCTATCTTGTGACAGTTTCATTTGAAACTGAGAACTGTTGATGTTCCAGTTATACAAAGCCACTTGCCTGTGGATAAGATGACCTGTGTTAATTTTTGTTAGTAGTTTTAAAGCTGCTGCCATAGTCACTGAAGAAAGCACCAAGACATTTCATGTAACTCTAATGCATGCACTGTATCAAGTGACCCGGCTGTGCAAGATGTGGGTTAGCAAGTCCCTCACATACAGTCACTGTACTCTACCTGCCCTTCAATTTACAGTTTCTAAAATCTCTGCATCTTTGCTGCGTTGGTAGGAAAGCTGAGTTAACAAGAGGATCTGAAACAATGACAGTTTGGTACATACTGTGTAGTTACATAGCCCTTCTGTCACTTTGGGACCCGCACTGCACTAGTGTGTTAAAAATTAAAATATGATTGATTCTAACTTAAGCCTAAAAAGCGCAAGTGATTTACAGCATTAAAAACAATCATCTAAGCCGAGAGTGTTGGCGCACGCCTGTAATCCCAGCACTCAGAAGGCCTGGGATACACAGTGAGTTCCAGGTCAGTCTTAACTACATAGTGAGACCCTGTCTCCAAATACATACATACATACATACATACATACATACATACATACATACATACATCCAAATACATACATACATACATACATACATACATACATACATACATACATACATACAAACAAACAAACAAACAAACATCTGGGCTTGACTATCTTAGTAAGACTTGTTAATAATCACTAGTTCCTTTTAGTTGTAGAAGATCAAGATCACTGATGACCTAAATTAAATACATCTCTAAAATGGGGCATTAAGACACTAGGCTCCAAGATGCAGTTTGAAGAACTTAAATCATCCTGTTCCGTGTAGTGGTTCACAGTAACTTTTTCTCCATACCAACAGAATGTATTAGAACATGGTATGAAAATACCACTTTGTATTATTTAAAGAAAAGAATCAGGACATTCACACACCCTGAGAGTGTGACCATTCAACTGCAGAGAGGGGTTGGGAGTTATCAACTAAGATTTTTTTGTGTGAAAACTGCCCAGGTGATTCTTGGTAAAAAGTACATTAAAAATCTTAACATATGAATAGAAATCCTTGAGACCCCTAGCTCCATCTCAACAGATAATACATTAAGTAAATAAGCGTTATAAATGCTAAGTTTTTTCAGGTTATTACCAGGTATCTGTGAAGGGTTGTTGGCAGGGACAAATATGATTATGTTAACATTAGCTTATGATACCCATTTACTAAGAAATAACAGGTTGCAACTGATCTCAAACACAAAAACAAAATCAGCCTGACATGATAGAGTACTTCTTGAATTCGTTAATATCAGCTTGACAGTTAATGCACATTTGCAAAATCCTAGCACACTGAAAATCCTTTTGCTATTACTAAACATCAGTTTTGAAATTATAACCATCCACTTTTTTCAGACATATGAGATGACTGCTGCCACTGTAGCCTTTTGAATTTGCAAGGAAAAAAATTATACAATGTGCTTTTTCCCAGCACATGAAACACATTTCAAACTGAGTGTTGACTTTAAAAACACTATGGCAATGCACTTGGTAGTACTACACACTTTGTACAAAGAGAAACGGGCAACAAACTTAAGGAAAGAGAAAGCCTTTGCTGGCTCTAAACTGAGTGAAGTTCTGAAATGTGGAGACGGTTTCGGGCATATTTATAATGGATACCTGTAATGTTCTTCCCGTGTAAATAAAGTTGCTAGTGCGAAACACAAGTTTGTCAATAAATTATTCTTCTCACCCCTACTTCAGAGAAAGGGTTATAAACTAGCTTTTTAACACAGAAATCTACTTCAGTACCTAACAGCAGAGTTTAAGCCATAACAGAAGTTTTGTGGCTTTCTATTGGAGTCTCACAATTCACTGAGGTACAAAAGCTCCATTTTTGCATATGAAGACAGTAACTTGCTCCAGGTAATCCCGTGGGAACTAGCTAGAATCTGAACATTTGACCCACAGTTTGCTGCCTGGAAGGTTTTCAGATGAAATCTGATGAATATTTTATGCATTTTACTTGATCCTCCAGAGGAAATGTGGGTGCTATTACCTGGATTTTTCAGATGTGCAAAGTTTTATAGGAAAATAAACTTACCTAATATATGCAGACCTATACTCAGTCTTGATTCTCAATCTTTAGTTTGACCTGAAACTTTCCTTATCAGGTTATCTGTAAAAAAGAAATTTTTTTTTTTTAAACAAGGTCTCCTCACTAGGCAGTTCAGGCTGTCCTGAACTTGCTGTGTAGCCCAGGTGGCCTTGAATTTGCAGTGATCTTCCTGTCTTAATCTCCTGAGTGCTGGTATTCCCGGCATGTGCCACCACGACTGGCTCTGCAACAGGATATCTTCTGATCTCACAGGATTTTATACTGGGTAAAATACCTCTCCTTACTTCTTTGGTTCCTTACCTTTTCGGTTTACCTCAAGTTACAATCTGCTTTGGGACACAGTTGAAAAAAAGTTTTCTAATTTATAAAATATCGTTACATTAGGGATCCACTTACAAAAGGATTATACTGATTGAAATACAGGCTGAATTAGAAACTTTCTGAACAGTACTGATTTTGTTCTTTTTCAAAATGTTTCTTAATCGTAATTTTTAATGGCAAATATAGTTTCAACTAACTTCAGGAACTCTGTGCTTCTCAACAAAATAATCAGAAAATTGTGTTTCCAACAGATTTCCCATTTGTAATATGGACACTAGAGGCATGGCTTATTAGTGAGATCAATGCTCCATTCTTGACAGAAATGTACTCATATTCCTTAGCACTGTATTTTCCCATTGTTTTACCTTACCACTTTCAAAAGGAGAACAAGAAAGATAGGCTAGAAAAGACATCATTTAGTTCTTTATGAAGTAGACTTTCCGGACCCTGCGCTTGTGAGGTAGGTGGTGGAACCACTAAGCTAAATCCCTGGCCCTTAAGTAAGATTTTGTATGAGATCAATCCTTTTATTTTTAAGACAGGGTCTCACTATATGGTTTGGGAAGGCCTTGAACTCACCGTGTAGCCCAGGCTGGGATTACAGACATGTGTCATCATGCCTGGCTTCAATTCCTGAAATCATGGATTTCTATGGTAATTAATGTCCATGGGCCAGGAAATAAACCATCATTAAACATCTTACTTATTAACCAACTCATAAAAATAATTACATTATGAGGCCTCTTTTTTATTTTGAAGCCAACTTTTCTTATGTTTCTGGGAAACAAATCTGAACAACCAAAAGGATTTTTCATCATAACTGAAGCCACTTTATAATGTAGAAATTCCTTCTTCCTATTTTAAGTAAAGAGAGTCCATTCTTGAGAATATGTTGTCCAACAACTAAAACACTCTCAGGATTTGTTACTTGTCTGTGATTTATACTGACTCCACCTTCTGTTATCATCCGATACCTGGAAATAGAAACGTTTAGTAACTAGAGAGATGATCCAATCACTGTTGCCCATTCCTGGCTAATTTTTTTTTTCTACCTCTCACTATTCAATTACGTATGAGTAAGCATTAATTATATGCCAAGCAATGTATTATGGAGGAAAAAATATTCTCTAATAATATGGTATAACAGGGAATTAAAATACTCTGATTCCTGATGAAAAATGCAGTTACAAAAGGGATTGTTTTGTAGTTTATAAGCCTTATGAAATTACATCATCTCATTTCATTTTCAGTAATTCAATCAACTTTTTTTTTGGTACCGGGGATGGAACTCAGGTCCTTGCGCTTGCAAGGCAGGTGGCGGAATGAATTTTTCTTTTTTTTTGGTACCCGGGGATTGAACTTGGGTCCTTCTGCTTGCAAGGCAGGCAGCAGCTAAATCCCCAGTGTATTTTTTTTTTAATTTTTGTTTATTTATTTATTTATTTAAATAATAAATCCCACTGAGCTAAATCCCCAGCGTATTTTTTTTTAATTTTTATTTGTTTGTTTATTTATTTATTTATTTGATACCAGGGATCGAACTCTGGTCCTTGTGCTTGCAAGGCAGGCAGCAAAACCACTGAGCTAAATCCCTGGCCCTCCCCTTTTTAAAATTTTGAGATAGAGTCTTGCTAAATCACTAAGTTGCCCTAGTTGAGCTAGATTAGAACTCCTGCCTCTGCCTCCCAAAGAGCTGGAATTATTGGCATGTGCACCTCACCAGTCTCAACCTCTGTCCCTAAAATAAAGAGGACAGACGCCGAGTATGAGAGGTGTCATGTCACTCTATTCACTTGTCAATTTGTGACCATAGCCCTAAGCTGACTGATCTGGAGCACATTTATTAAACATGGCTGCTCAACACAAAACTTCCACTTTTGATGGGAAAACTAACAAAGTTAATGAGTATGGGAATAGTCTAGAAAGTTTGAGGCATTTTCAGCAGTACTTTGTTTTCACTTTATTCTTGGAATAATCTTACTTTTGCAAGAAATGAGATGCCACAAGAGCATTATTAGGAAAACGCACTCTGGAAACATGCTATGAATTCTAACACTGGATGGTAAAGTAACTGAATCAAAAAGCTAAATCATCTTACCCTCGAGGCCCATCAGGAATGGCATTTGCTTTGCGGCATGTGTCCAGGACACTTGTTCCAGGGTCGAGAACTAATTCAGAAAATGAAGCTTCTTTAAACAACTCTTTCAACTCTTGGTCGGACATGACCTCCAGTGCATCGATGCTACTATGATAAAGGGCTTGTGTACACCTAGAAGACATTTTGGAAGTCATCACATAAGTGCCTCAAAGATGTCCTAGTATACATTATCCAGCTATGAGGTGTCCACACCGAAAGGTCTGAAACTGCAACGTTTATCTTGCATAGCTCCAAAATTTCTCAAGTCTATCATCTAAACTTTACTGAGGGTTAAGTGCTTTAAAGACTACCTTTTAGCAGAATTCAGTCCTTCCTGTCCATGAACAAGCTTTGTTACTTCTGCAGCGAGTCGCTTCTGTGGACCTCGCTTTTCTGGTTCTTTGCTGTGCAGCTGCATAATGTGGTCAATCTCTGCAAGGGGCAGAAAAGTGAAGAGCTTCAGGTACCTTGGGGGCAAGAAATAAAGGATACATTTATATCACATACTAACCTTTATCTCCAGCTCCCTTATCCTTTAAAGAATATCCTGCTTACTCTTTAACCTTTTTTATTTTAAAATATGAAAATATAAACATGCAAATATGTACTGAAAATAATATAACACACTCATGCATATACAACTGAGATTTGGAAATCCTACTTTTGCCCTTATTTGATGTGGTTCTCTAAAATAAAATGGGATATAGGGCCGGGGATTTAGCTCAGCAGTTCAGTGGCCTGCCTTGCAAGTGCAAGGACCAGAGTTCAATACCCGGTACCAAAAAAAAAAAAAAAAAAAAAAAAAAAAAAGATATAAAAAGGCTCCAGTCCTGTCACACTCCCTTCTCTGTCCCCAGAGGCACCACTAATCTAAATTCTTCCCAACCATGTTGCTGCTATCCAGTGCTTTTGGCTTACATGTGTGTACATATACACCCATGAATAAAAAGTACTGCCTAATTTAAAAATTGACATTCTATACATATCTTCTAACCTTTTCTTTGGTGAAATGAGAACAGAAAAAAGTACAGGAAATACAGAGCTTAATCATTATGAAGCAAACACCTATATAACTATCACTTTGGTTAAAAAAATATAACAATGCTCCTTATCCAACAAAGCCCAAGCACATCATTACCCCCAGGATCCCTTCAGCTTAATCATTACTCTACCTTAATGATAATTAGTTCCTTGTTTTTCTTTAAACTATGGTAATACCTTAGTACACTTTCCTAAATGTATCACTTAGTTTTGTCCTTTTTTGTGCGATAAGTCTGACTGTTGCTGAGGCTGGCCTCAAACTCCTGGGCCAAGGGCACCTCCTGCCTGAGCTCCAGAGTGGTTGTAACTTTCAGGCATGCCACTGCACTCAGCAAGATTTGACATGATGTTACATGCATGGAATCATAAAGAATATATTTTGTAGCAAGGGACCACAAAAAATAAATCCAACAGCTGCTAGACTATGCCAGGAATAATGCTATGGCTTGTGTCTAGATGTCCCCCTAAACCTCATTTGGTCATAGGTGGAGCTTTTCAGAGGCGGCTGGATCTCAGGTGTGTGATGCAGGGATTGATTCATGGAGCAATGGTAGGATTAAGGGCATGAGTACTACCCCTAAGATCAGGTAGTCTGGACAAGATATAAGGAACAAAAAGAGGTTGCTGGTTGCTTACTTACTTTTGCTGTCTTCTCCCTGCCATGAACTGTTTCTCCTCTGTGACCCTGCCTTGGAACCAGCTAATTATATACTAAACCCTCTACAAACTAAGCTGAAATAAACCTTTCCTCCTTTAACTTTGGGTGTAGGATATTTTGCCTCAGCAATGAGAAAACTAATTAACTAAAAAATATAAAATTAACTGGAATCAAGAAAAATCAGAAGATGGCCCAAAGGGCATAAAAAAACCCTGTTAACACAGTATCAGAAAACTTCCTAAGCATGGAAAAAAGAATTTGACATACAGGTAAGTGAGGCATGTAGAACTCCAAACAGCCATGACCAGAAAAAAACTACACCAAGGCATATAATAGTCAAGATTCCAGAAATTCAACACAAGAACAGAGTATTAAAAACTGTTAGAGGAAAGAAACAAATCACTTATAAATGAAACCCACTAGAATCACACCAACTTCTCAACGTAAACCCTCCAGTCAAGGAGAGTTTGAAGTGAGGTATTTCAAGTCCTAAAAGAATGTATCTTTGTGTTTGGCTACTGTGGCATATCAGTGTGTTTAGGGTGTTTGTGCATGATGATGCATGCAGAGCACTCTACCCTGTGACTATTCACATATCATATTTATCCCATCTGCTGCAGGCATTTAGTTGTTTCTACTTTCAGACAAATGATAATGATGGTTGAATATTTTCACATATCTCACGTGCACATATCTCACGTGCACTTGTCTTGGTTGGTTATGTATCCAGGAGACTTGCTGGGTCACAGCATGTGTACAAATTCAGCTTTAGTAGGTATTGCCAAGTAGTTTCCCAAAGCAGATCTGACTACCTTGGCACGTCCCAATGGATGCTTAGTACTGCCAAGCCTTACAGCTGCCAATGTGGAAAGTATAGTGCATCTAACTGTGCCTTTACCTCCATTCCTCTTTTTATCATGAAGGCTGAGCACCTTTTCGGTCTTTTGGGTAGGACCTTTGTGAAATGCCTGCTCATATTTCTTTCTTTTTTTCTACTGGGCTGTCCTTTGCTCACTAGTTTTGAGAATTTGTCGGGGAGGGAATTAAATCCAGGCCCTTCAGAAAAGCAGAAAATGAAACTTTCAAAAATGTATCATTTTTTGTGCTCGCTTCAGCAGCACTAGGAACGATACAGAGAAGATTAGCATGGCCCCTGCGAAAGTATGACATGCAAATTTGTGAAGTTCCTCATGAAAAAAAAATGTATCATTTTTTGATACATAAAAACCCTAGGACTATACCATCAAACATGTGACCATAAATCTAAAGGGAAAGACTTAATTACTATAATTTTGCAATAAATCATATCATCTTTCATTTTTTCCTTCACAAATTTCTTTGTGTGGGCTGGGGATGTAACTTAGTGGTAGATCACTTCCCTAGTATGTGCAAGGCCCTAGGTTCAATCCCCAACACCACATTAAAAAAAAAAAAAAAGAAAAAATGTCTTGGCAATCTTAAGATGTTTTTGTTTCCACATAAATCTATAAAAGCTTGGTAAGTTTCACAAATGCACCATTTATGTACTGTGCAGACTGCACTGAATATGTGGATCAAAGTGAGAATTAATGTCTATAAAATGAATATGGTATATCTCTCCATGTAGGTCTTTGTGTTGATTAAGAGTCTTTTCTGATGCTTTGCAGGAAAATTACACATTTAAAAATTTTAGAAGAATTATTCCTAGGTTATCTTGATATTACAGTAAAATCAAAATATCCTTTTAGTTTCCTTTGTTGCAGGTCTATTTCATTTGGCCTTAATTTATATTCTTCTAAGAGTATTAGGCAATGTAAGTGAAAAAGAAAGCTGCTTTAAAAAGAATCCTTGCCAGGCATGGTGTTGCACATCTGTAATCCCAACACTTAGGAAAGTTGTTACAGGAGGATTGCAAATTCTAGTTCTGCATGGGCAATTTAGCAAGACACTGTCTCAAAATTTAAAAAGAGCTGGGTATGAAAGGCTCTAAATTCAATCCCCAGCACCACATTAAAAAAATAAATGTCTTGAATATCTTAAGATATTTTTGTTTCCAAAATGCCTGTAATCCCAGCACTCTGAGAGGCTGAGGCAGGAGGATCTCAAATATAGGCTCAACTTGGGCAATTTAGCGACTTGTAAGACTCTCAATCAACATTAAAAAATGTGTTAGGGGGGCCAGGGACTTAGCTCAGTGGCACTGCACCTGCCTCAAAAGTACAAGGTCCTGAATTCAATCCCTAGTACCACCCCCAAAAAGTTTTAGGGATATAGCCAAACGTGAAGGCTCTGGGTTCAACCCCTAGTACTGTGAAAGAAAAACAAGGGCAGGTGGGGACCACTAGGAATGTAGCTCTGTGGTAGAGTACCACTCCCAGTGTGTGTGTAGACAGTGCTAAAGATGTATGACACATTAAGGAAAACAAATGTTAAGGACCGGGGATTTAGCTCAGTGGTATCTCACCTGCCTCTCAAGGGCAAGGTCCTGAGTTCAATCCCAGGACCAAAAATAAATAAATAAATAAATAAATGTTAAGAGTCAAACCCATGACAGGAGAGACAAAATAAGACTAGTTAAAATGAATGGAATGAAAAGACTAGAATATGTGATAAAATCCTAAGTACTTGCTAGATATAGATAAAAATTTGGTTCTATGGTTTCTAGCTACCCACCTTAGTTAGTATTCTATCTTACCTAACAAAAAGTTCAAGTTCAAGAGCACAGTTAAAGTTACAATGTTCTGTGACATAATGCCTTAAATAGACTTGAAGTTAAAAAGAAAAACTCAAAAAACTATAAAGGCTACATAGAGACTGAACGTAGGAAAACTGTATCTTTAGCTTATGACATTAATGGTCCTCAGACTACTTCTTAAAGACTCACCTTTCCACGGAATCATCTTGCTGTCTGACAAAGAACTGATACAGTTCAAAGGGAGAGGTCTTCTCTCTGTCCAGCCACACAGCATTACCAGCGGATTTTCCTAGCTTTGCTCCAGCTGTACTTGTAATCAGAGGGACAGTGATTCCAAACACATCTTCTCCAGTCTGTCTGCATATGAAGGCACAATTAGTGGTAAGTTACACTACTTTCAAGACTTCAGTCTGGTTATTCCCTCCAAAAATAATTCTTCAATCTCCTACATCTAAATTCTTGTCCCTCTTCTGTTCTTTTACAACACTCACCTTATGTTTACACTCATCATCCTAAAGCCAGGGAGAAGTGATTTTTTGAAAAGCCAGTTGAGTAGAGGAAAGAAAACCAGTGAAAGGTGAGTCAGGAAGAAAAACTAAAGGAGTTGTTTTAAAGGAGTTTTCTAAATGTTTTGCTCTGTATAGCACACAGGCTAGCCCCGTTCTACATCTCCCTAGTGAAATCTACATTACTTGTCAAATATTCAGAGTTGGGATGCTTTCGAGATGCCAGAGACTGGAACTAGTTTCCTGGAGGGTAAAGAGCTAAAACAGAGGCCACTAGAGCATGCCCAGTTAACTTACACAAGTGCAATTTTTCAAGTAAGAAAGAACAAGCGACAACCTGAAGCTCAACTAGTGGTCTGTTTCCTAAACAAGTCGTGTTATTAGCGTCATTATAGGTCCTTAATTCGGATAAAACCAACAGGCTACTAATGAGTACATTATTAGTTCCTAGATTTCTGTAGGGTCTACAGAGTAGGTACTTACTTGTGGATGAACTCGTACCCGGACACGATGTTACCCAGCTGATCAGACCCGCCCAGCTGGACTCGGCATCCATAATGCTGGAACAAGTAATAGAAGTCGTAAGCCTGGAGCACCTGGTAGAAGAACTCCGCCAGGCTCATGCCCTCCGGGCTCCTGAGTCGCGCCTGCACACTCAGCCTGCTCAGCAGCGTGCCCATGCGGAAGTGGCCACCCGCGGCCGCCAGGAAGTCCACCAGGTGATGTTTCTGGTACCAGGCTGAGTTGTCCAGCACCGTAAAGCTGCCCCAGGCCCGCCCATCGGCGAAATGCTGCTGGTGATTGGCGTCCAGGGTATGCAGCCCGCGGCGCAGGGCGCTCGCGTTGGCCCGCACCTGTTCGGCCGCAAGCATCTCACGCTCCTTTGTGCGCCCGCTCGGGTCTCCCAGGCGCGCCGTGGCGCCTCCCACCAGCGCGATCACGTTGTGGCCCGCTCGCTGGTTTTTTTGCTGCTGGTGATTGGCGTCCAGGGTATGCAGCCCGCGGCGCAGGGCGCTCGCGTTGGCCCGCACCTGTTCGGCCGCAAGCATCTCACGCTCCTTTGTGCGCCCGCTCGGGTCTCCCAGGCGCGCCGTGGCGCCTCCCACCAGCGCGATCACGTTGTGGCCCGCTCGCTGGAAGTGGAACAGGCCCTGCAGCGCCAGCAGATGCCCCACATGAAGCGAGTCGCTCGTGGGATCGAAGCCGCAGTAAATGGTCTGGGGAGAGTGGCCCGCCGACCTCGGATCGAAGAGCTCTGGGAGCTCCGTCTTCGTACCAGTCTCCGGGAAGAATTCCTTGAACAGACCTCGAGCTTTCTGAGCCGCCAGCAACCCCTGCGCACCTGAATGTGACTGACGCAGCCCCAGTGGAAAGCGTCCTGACGACCCTGGGGTACCAGACCATCGGCCTGGGTAAAGCCGCCTAAACATGGGCGCCGCCATCTTGACACGCGCGGGGAATGCTGGGATCTTAGAGGCCCCACCTCTCAGCGCCAGCCTTTTAAAACCCCTGCAGTGGCGCGGTATCTTTCTGCGCATGCCCCAGCGGGGGCGGAAGGCCGTTACTTACTTACCGAGCTTGCGTAGGGCAGCGGGAGGTCTGATTGCCGGGTACTTAATTACCTAAAGCTTAATTTCATTTTTATTTTTTAAATTATTTTTATTAGTACATGTGTGCAATACATACATAATGATTACACTCCGTGGGGCATTAATACATGCAAATAACACATCTTATTTCCCCCCTCCTTTCCGCTCTCCCTCACTCCACCTCTTGGTACTCTATTTGCAAAATCCTCGTCTTTATTTATTTATTTATTTATTGCAAAATCCTCTTTAATGCGGGTATATTTATGATCATAGTTCCGACCTCTAAAGGCTGTTGTGAGGACTGAGAATGAAGCACATCATACAAACGTTAACTTTCATTTAAATGTTCACGTTAAAATATCGCGTTGCGCAAATAAATTCTTGGAAGTGTTGGTTCTACCCAGAAACCTGTTCACAGGGCTCTGGACGGCCCGGAGTGGGTTTCACCGCGAGGGTTGAGCTGGCGCTGCCCTCGGGGAGATCCCCGGGGGAGGAGGCCCAGCCGCCTCCTTCCCTCCGCCTGGCGGGGACATTCTCGCCCAGGCTGCAGCAGAACCCCGGGTTCCTTTGACCACAGCTGGGACGCAGCCTACCGCCTGCATTCAGAGCAGCAAGCACATGGCGCAGCCTGCCACTCTGGCACCAGGAAAGATGGCTGGCAAGCAGCGAAGCAGTTCCAAACTTCTGCCTTAGGGCCTAATTCCCGGGACCGTTTTCAATACCAGCTGTCTAAAGTCGGGGTTCCCTGGGCTCTTAAATTGGCATCTGTGTGCAGGATTATCGGGGTGTGCTCTTGTGAACAGACCTGGACGGAGTGCTGAAGTCAGCGCTGGGCAGAGAGGTGTGGAGCTGTGAGCTTTGCGGGTAGAGATCTCTTGATCCCGCAGGGACTGAGGAGAGGTGAGGTGGTACACCAGCTTATTGACTGGTCCTTGAACGTGGGAGGCGAAGAAGCTGGCAAATCTTGGCTGACAGCCAGATACAGAGGGACTCAGCTGTGAGCCCTAGCAAACAGGACACCTCAACAGCCACCCTTGTTTTAGAGCAACGATCTGCGATTCTTTGTGTATATAGTTGTCAGTGAATTTAGGTTCCTCGTTGCTAAAAGTGATGTCAATTGATTTTAGGTAAAAAATTTCCAGGTTCTGCAACATAATACCAAATGCTGAAGAAAGTAACCAGGGTATGTTCTTTCTTGTTATTTAAAATTAGCAATCCTGACCTGTTGATCCAGACTTAGGTCCCACCTCGCTGACCAGGGAAGATGTCAACATGCCTATAGCAGGACCTTGCCTTGAGCACCTAGCATATGTTAGGTTGCCTGCCTCACATACAGGAAGACTTGAAAAGCATTTCAGTGCCAGGGATTTAGCTCAGTGGTTCTGCCACCTACCTTGCAAGCACAAGGGCCCGAGTTCGATCCCCGGTACAAAACAAAACAAAACATTTCAGAGAACTCGTTCCTTCCTGAGGTTTTTGATAACTATGACACATACCTCTGTACCTCTTAAAAGGTGCATTAGTCTAATACCGGGAAGCCTGACTTCATACTGTGGTTTAATTACTTTGTTCCTTGAGGAAATCCTACTTCTTAAAAAAGTATATATCCTTGTCAGCCTTGTTCAATGGCCTGTGCTTAATGGAGAAGAGCTTTTGTGGATGATGAGGAAAAAAAAATTCTACCTGGATTTGTGCTCTCCTTTGCCCCAACCGCCACCCTAGGGCCTCTGCACTGAGCTGCAGCCCCACCCAGCTCAGGGTCTCCCTGAGTTGCCCAGGCTGGGCTCAAACTTTCATTCCTCCAGCCCCAGCCTCCCAGAGTGCTGGGGTTACAGGTGCAAGCACCACACCTGGTTTGCTTTGTTTCTTTTTCAGCTTTGTGGTATCTCATGAGTGGGAAGCAATCTGGTACAGCAGTTAGAATCAGAGAAGGAGGGGCATGAGACTTAGCAGGTCAAGAGCGTGACAGTTCTGCCCAAATGCTTTTGCATCAGTTATTTTCCTTTCAAACTTACGTTGGCATAATAAGGAAAATGAGGCTTTGTCTAAAAGACAGACAAGAGCAGGAGAAGAAGGCAGGACTTTCAAACCTTTGCAGTTGTACTCTTGGCCAAAATTTTATGGGATCTGTACTCATGCCTGTGCTTGGTGAAAGAGAGGAGGTTGAATATTTCCAAAACAAGGCACAGTAGTGCCACAGAGGGTAACTGCCCTCATGTGATCACTGCACATTATATATGTCCATCACAGTATCACACTGGGGTATATCCACAGGTAAAATTATAATGTGTCAATTAAAAAAAAAGAAAAGATAACCACGTTGATTCTTGCTGTTTTTATTGGCTTAAAGAATGAATATATGCATATCAAAGAGAAACTCAGGGCCAGGGATTTAGCTCAGTGGTGCCACCGCCTGCCCGGAGTTCAATCCCCGGTACCAAACAAAAAAAAAAGTAATTCAGAAAATATGGTTTAACTCAGCCATAATAACTTGGGGTTTGCTGGTCTTGAATTAGAGGCATCAACAAAACACCGCAAGCCAGGCGTGGTGGTGCACGCCTGTAATCCCAGCACTTGGGAGGCTGAGGCAGGAGGATCGCTGTGAGTTCGAGACCAGCCTGGGCTACATAGCGAGTTCCAGGTCAGACTCAACTACATAGTGAGACCCTGTCTCAAAAAACAAAATAAAATAAAACGTCACATAAACATTTTCTCTAAAAGGGTCCCTGTTTTATGTTGTTTACTTTTCAAAATGTAAACAGTGATCAATATACCCCCGTTCAGCAAGCAGGAGAGAGGAAAGAGGAGCAGAGTTCTAAGTGGGCTCATGCAGCTCATACCAGGAGTTGAAAGGAAGGCGGTTGTAGTTCATTTTGAATTCTTTCTCTACCCATGGCACAATGTGATTCAGGTTATAGCAGCGATTGTGCTTGGGTTATAGTATAAACCATCCAAAGCTTGAAGCAGGGTGGCAGCAGAAAGGAGGCCACGCCATTCTGACCCTTGTATAAGCACGTGCCATTCCTGTTTGTGTTGGAAGCGCAGCGTGGGTGTCTTCAGGAACATAAAGGGTGACAGAAGATGCAAAAGGGGAAAAGATAGGAACAAGAAACAGAGCTTGTAAGTTACTCCGGGGACTTAGCTAAGACCTGCCTCTTGTTGGAGCTTTCCAGATGTGACTGACAAAGTGATTGACGGGATGCTGAGGCATCTCCAGGGGACCCTGTGAGCATGACTTTCCCATAATGCACTCCGCTGTGATCACATGCCTGACACGTGATCCCTGTGTACCGACTGTTAACTGACGTTCCAGAGGGGAAAAGGTTTTTGTAGGTCAGGCCTCAGAATGTAACAGGCCTGTGCCCTGGCCTGAAGCTTTAGAGATTGCCAGGTACTTTGTTATTCTTTCTGCTTCTCTGAGGACAATGGAAGCAGGATTGGCTCTGGGGTGTGGCCCAAGTTCCAGCCGATGGAGGGAGAGTGGTCTCCCCACCCCAGTAGTGCTCTCTGCATTATAAACAAAGGTACATTTTTAAAATACAAAAATAAAAAGTGACTAATATACAATTCCTTGTTGCATTAGGTTTTTGAGAGGTATGCACACTGTTCCTGCTTTTAAGCTGCTTTTGTAGCCCGTGGGATAAATTGGGGTTCTCAGACCTGCTGCTGTACCCAACTGGCTGGATATTTTGAAGTATTTATGGGTTTTTAATCTCTCATTTTCACTTTCCATTCCACCCCACTTATGTCTGACATTTTGTGTATCAGTGCTTTGAGTAAGGTACAAGTTAGAGATGTGATATAAGCCTGGAATTTTGTGTGGTTTTAATTTCCAAAGGCCCAAAACCCAGTATTATAGACAGCTAAATTAGGTAAAAATATGCTAGGCAGTCTAGGCTAGGCCTTGGCGGGAGTCAGTGTGGAGGATAAAAACTCATTACAACTACGGCCTGAGGTGCATCTATTAAAAGCCAGGCCTCAAGATAAAGACAGAATGACCAGGCCTACATCCCTCCCCCTTGGGGGGGAATAATTGATATTGCCTGGCCCAACACTGTCTAGATCGACCTTAGTCAGCCAGGTGGGTGACCAGGACCCTCTGATCCATCGCTTTCTGAAAAGGTCTTTGTTCTTTCCATGTACACTGGCTATGTGACCCGCTTCCCCGTTGGGTCAATATTACCTATGTACCTCTACTTGTAATCTTATTGCTTGATACCCACATCATATCTACCTGTCATTTTTCTCTATAAAACTTCCCTTGAGAAGTGGGCTCATGAGCAACCCACTTTCTGTCTCTCTCAATAGAATTTTTCTTAGGGCTGGGATGGAGCTCAGTGGCACTGCGCCTGCCTGAGAAGCTCAAGGACCTGACTTGGATCCCTGGTACCACAAAATAAATAGATAAAATAAAAATTTCCTACTGTTAACCTCTGTTGTTTCCTAGAATTCATTCTTCAATTTTGGGGAAACATGAACTCAGTGTATCTGACATCTAGCAGGCTGGAGTTACATTTATTTCCTACATCTCTGGGATAGAATAAAGGTTGGTGAAATAAACTTACAGAAACGGAAGACAAAGCGAAAGCATCTCCAATTTTCTTTTTTTGCCGGCCGTGGTGGAACATGCCTGTAATCCCAGCACTCGGGAGGCTGAGGCAGGAGGATCGCTGTGAGTTCGAGGCCAGCCTGGGCTACACAGTGAGTTCCAGGACAGTCTCAGCTACATAGTGAGACCCTGTCTCAAAAAAAAAATTTTTTTTTCTTTTTTTCAGACAGAGTTTCAGGTTGACCTCGAATTCACTGTATATCCCAGACTGGCCTCAAATTCATAGTGATCCTCCTGCCTCACCCACCTGAATGCTAGGATTGAAAGTGTGCACCATCGTGCT